GGGGGTTGACGCGAAACTGCGGACCGGAGTTATGATTGGACATGGGCTTGCGCATCTGGGCCAGATGGGATCGAGGACACAAAACTGAAAGGAACTTGCCTGCTGCTTGACTTCGAGTTGTTTTGGCGGCAGCATGCAAGCATTTGGAGTCCATGCAAGCTTCACCTCGAAGCCTACCCTCCGCACCTCCTGTAGCGACCCAGACTTCAGAAAAGCTCAATATGACACTTCGAAGCTGCTTTGACAGCAGGTCTTGTGTCCCCGCTGTCATGCGCAGGAGTTCGTGGGATGCAGGATGTAAATCTTGTAGCTGAGGTCCAGCAGCAGGTGGCCGAGTACAGCGCCCTGGCAGCAAGGCATTGCAAGTCCTAGTTTGGGCCCCGTAGCTGTTTGACGGACGGAATGTTCGGACGAGGCACCATGCTAGATTCTAGAATATAGAATGTCCGTCGCTCGTGATGTAGCTTTTGGAGCTTGTAGAGTGTCTGAGGTAAGACTGTCGGCACGGGCCGCGTGGCCAAGGGCATGTGAACAGGCCGATGTCCTGTGAGGGGCTTTGTGGTTGACCCTCGATATTGCAAGATCATCGCGCTGCACCCCTACTACCTTGCATTGCATGGGGAGCTGTCCTGTCTGCCCGACTAAGTCACTAAGTCTCTAAGTATCATTATTATCGGACTGCTGCGGCCACCCAGAACAATTTGATCCTGAACAGTTCATACTTCACACTTCAAGCTTGGCCGCGTGCTCAGTAGTACTGTGACCAGTCTCAAAGTCGGCATGCAAAAACACGCCATGTGACTGAGTCGGACCCAGTTGTTCCGAGCCTTTCTACGGATCGCTTGCCACACCTCCTGATCACTGCTTCTTGCACATCGGGGAAGCCCGCGATAACTTACAGCCACCGGCCGACCGGAATGCCGTTTCAGCCACGAGGCGCGTTGCATTGTGAGCTTGCAGCATGTCCCTGTTTTGACGCAGACAGAAGATGGCAAACAGGGAAAGAATGTTGAGGAGGGCCGCAGAGGTTTAGGTTTTCGCCAATTGGCTACAGGCAGTCTGCAGGCTACAAGTTGCGGAATGCTTGATCGCTACAACATAGGATGTCACACGAGTAGACGAACCCTGCGATGCTCATGGTTCGCATCTCCTCAACTGTTTTAGTTGGCAGTCCTGCCGCCTGAACTGCTGCTCACACAAAATTCTTGCAGCTCATCGGCAACGCCCAGCTTGTTCAAAGACGGGCCTGGCCCCCCTCCTGCGCCGCGGAGGTCCGCGACTTTCAAGCTACAAGCATCACTAGGAGATTGGCTCTCGGCGTTGTCACTGCATAGCTCAGAGTCTCAGTCGTCATGGTCACGAGCGCACAAGAAACACTCTAGAGCTTGCTTGAGCCCGCCACAGTCTGCTTTTCTGTCTACGACGGCCTCCCCAAGACCCGCACTCATCCTCGCTTTGGACCTCCTTGGTGCAGTTTCGCTGACGACGGAAGTCATTCGATTGTTCGAGGTGGATGTTCCGCTTATTCGCTGGCAGATCAGAGCGTTCCTCCTGCAACCTCTTTGCATGGTGCTGCGCCAGATTTCGTCACGTTCAGAGCTTGTGGGACCAATGGATAAGTTAAGTGCATCCCCAAACTCCCAGACCAGCGCATCAAAGCGGCAGCAGTCAGTGCTTTGCATCAGTGCCACAGACTTCGCATGCTTGACGCTCTGATCGCAGCGCATTATCAGCCAGATTCCTGCCTCTGTTCCAAAGCACAGCCTCAAGTTGGGAAGAAGTCTTTGCGTGCTAGGAGGTGAAGTGTCTGTAGTCATGACAGCTGCTAATGTTTCTTCAGTGGCTACGGCTGACGCTGCTACATGATTTGGTTTCAGCACATCAGACGTTCATGAAACCTTCTTCTCCCCAGCTGAGCCTTTGCGAAGGCCGCCTTTTCAAAAGTTTCAATGCTCGCCGAGTAGCAACAGGAGACTGCACGCCTTGGGTCGATCTCCGAAACCTTGAACCCAGAAGTCATCGTGCACCGGGATCGGAAGATGCAACGCAGATTTAAAACCGCATGTGTTTCCTCCGATCTAGATGTGCTGCTTGCAGGCCACATCAACGGCCTGTCTTCAAGAGCAGGTTCCTTTCACAGTAGAAGGCAGAGCCAACATAGGACCCCGGAACTTGACACTCTACATTTGCACAAGCCACAAGCCTTCGGGTCGAGCGAGTGTTAGAGTTGCAATGTTCTCGAAGTCATAGGCTTCTTCGGCAAGGTAGCCCTCGTTTAGTAAGACCCAGGATCCCGAGGCTTCATGGCTTTGTGTCGCGAAGGAAAGGTCACATCGCACCCAAGGTGAGTTGCAGTGTCGCTTCTTCCGGCTTGCGACTTTGTAGTTAGAGAGGCGGAGGTGCTGGCAAAGTGTCATGTGCATGTGGATGAAGGAAGAAGTTCCCCGGATGTATGTTCTAAGTACTTGGTGTTGTGTATGTTTCGCAGCCCCGACCCGAGCCAAGCTCAACTTGCAGAGGTCTCCTCGAAGTCCGCGCCCCCCTCACGAGCAAGTCTAGGGGCTTGAAGTTAAGAAGGCTTATCTTTACACAATCTGCGGGGTTGTCTTCCTTCAGGGAGCCACAGGATCCCTTGTCGCACAAGAAGCACCGGAATTTGTTGCGGCGACTCATGCCTCGAAAAGACAGAAAAGAAGAAGGGTTGTCACTGTCCCGCAGGTACGCTGAGGCTCAGACTTCTGGACCTGGCTTGTTCTGCTGCTGAGACCTCCAACAAAGTCTTGTGGGGCGACAGACAACAGAGCAGGGCTGGCTTGAGGAGTCTGATTCAGTTTATGTTCCAGGATGCCAGGCGAGACAAGAATGAACACTGCGTCAGATTTCACATGAACTTCTCCCATCCCCTAGCAGAAGACGAAGCCATCAGTTCGAACCCAGCACCTGTACCGGTCAATAATGCGCACAAAGGATGATACGATAGAGTGGCGGCTTATCCGCCTGGCGTCGGTCAAACAACTCCGACACTTGTAGCACCTGCACGCACTACTGCAAGCATGTCGCCGTTTTCTTTGGGGACAGTGACGGTTCATTCCTCCCAAGATTCAGTCGCAAGTTGAAGTAATTGATGTGGGCAGATTGCTCCAAGTTCCAGAGCCTTCCATAATAGTTGAGTGCCGCAAATACCACATGCAAGTGCAGGAGATGTCACACAGAACCATTTCGCCGACGGCTGGCCTCTTAGACAAGGCGGCTGCTTCGATAACTGTTTCGGAGATTGTTGATCCTTCAATGAAGGTGGTAGGACGGACCAGCATCCTGCCGACTGATAAATCCTGCCACGACGACTGCGCGAGAAGCGGTGGATGAACAAGAACACAGTCCGGGAGTGAGATTCTGAAGCCTAGACCCATAGACGGTCCTACATAAACACACCGAAATCACAGAGCCGCTTTGAAGATCAACTGCCTTGAAAACCTAAGCTAACCCAAAACCCCGATGTACACAGGGGCGGCCCATGCCCTGGCCCTGCGCGCGCTCGGCCGACGCCAAGCTGCTCCTGGCAGGCCACATCTTTCGATCTTACGGGGCTAGGGCTTGTGTTTAGGGCTCTCTCGGGTCGCATTTTTCGGGGCTTCAATGTAAGCTGTAGGCTTCGGGTGCTTTTTTCCCAAGTCAAGCGGCGTCTGCAGGTGCCGGGTTTCTCAGTGCTTTTTCTTTTCAAACGCATAGCAGACTTTTCGTTTGTCTCATGGGCTGCAACAGTGCGACACCCATGAGCCAGGGCATCAGTAGTCCCATGCACAGGCTCTGTTAGCAGTTCAAGAGTAGCACAGGGAAGCCTGGTCGAGGTTTGTTCGGTCCGATCCCAACTGGATTTTGCAATTGTCGGGTTTCGTTGCTCACATAAGGAGACATGAGTAGAGTAGAGACAAAGTCAAGATAGTGTCAGCATGAGTTGGAAGGATCGTTCTGCATTCTGCTAAACCACCGCCGGCTCTAGGCTGCGACGTGGAGACAAAAACACAAGCTTTGAGACTTCCTGCGCACTCCAAATACTTGCCAACTCAGAAACAGCCCCCGTCATGCCCCGATACTCCAAAAGCCCTGGAAATCCTTCGGTGTAGGCATTAAAACAGCCTGAGCGCCTCGTGCGAGGCCCCTGGACATCATCGTCTGCTACTGTAGCCCGGCTGCTGAGCATTGCACTTGACTCACGTGCGTCTCAGATGTGTTGTGCGGCCTGCCCTGCAGTCAGCTCAGAGGTTTCAGCCTTTTCCCCCTGCTGTGTCCTTCATCGCCACCACGCGGACATCCCAAAGCCTATACTGTAGCCCTCACCAATGAGAGCGGGTAAGGAATGCTTTGCCAAACTTGGCACTGCTCCAACAGCCGCCTTTGCAGGCTCGGAGCGTCTCTCTTGGCTCCGAGCCTTCCACAAATTGCCCTGGCGGGACGCCGCTTGCCGGAAAGCTTCGGACAAGCACAAGCAAGCTGGTGCCTACCGACAAGGGATTGTGTGGCGTTGGTGCCTTTCACCGCCTCGGCATTTACACCGTTGTAGCAGTCGCGCTTTGGAGTGCGCAGCAGCGAGATACATCTCGCATGCTCTAGAGCCCCTTGCTGGCTGGTGATTGCTGTGTGAGGAAAACCGTTCTGCCGCAATTCGTGAACTGGTGACATTGAGGATTTATCACAAGCCGCCTGGCCGCATCCTGGCAGGCTGTGCTTGTTCGGCTTCTGTGCAGTACCGGGGCAGTCGGGGGCAGGTACTGATTTCATACCATACCAGCAGAGAGGAAACCCAGTGCGAGACTCGTGTCTGACAGACACCAGAGCATCCTGAGAGAAATCCAAACCGGGAACATGGCAGCTCAAAACCCATCAGGACACAGAGGGCATAGCGGCTGCAGCACAAAATCCTTCGTCAAGTAAGTACGCGCGAGTTGGATTGCAGTATAACTCTGCACTGCAGTTGGTTCCGCGGAAAAGGTGCGGCGGCTATGGCACGGGCGTGCGAGAGGCATTGGCCGGCACACCAAAATCCGTGTTGTGTGTTGGGCCTGAACTGAGGACATGTTGTGCCGCATTTAAGCATCATCCGGCTGTTAAGTTGGGTTTTCCGAAGGATAGGCAGAAAGCACTAGGATCGAGATGGCAGGTGTCGCTATCATGATCCCTCTAGGCCGCCTGACGTCCCAACACGCGAATCCTTGAGGCGGAAAGCGAACGCCTTCGCACCGAGTGGGGGCCGTACTTTCGGGAAGTCGATGCCCCTTGGCGGCTCAATGCGTGTGAAGATCCTTCGATGCGTGAGCACGACAGGCTCCGAGACATGCTGAGCTGCACGTCAGTAGCAAGGACTCGCTTGCCCTGGCAGTCTCAAACTCGTTCTGCTAGTTTGGGCCCAAGCAGATCCCGGCACTGTCACTGAATCGAAACCAGCTCCGAAACAGCCCGCACTGCAGAATGCAGACCTACAAAAAGCAGCAGGTGCGCTACGTAGACGACGTCTTGCGGGCCGATGATGACTCGGCCTACTTGGCGTTCATCATCGACTGGCGACCAGCCTGTACTGTAGCTATCAGGGAAAAGGCAGATGCTACCAGTACAATAGATGTTTGGCAGCACCCTGCCGGTGTTCAAATTGAAAGGGTCCGCTGGGTTGTACGGCGTCTGTCGTTAATTCAGTGTAAGGTTGCTGTCACCATTCAGGGGCAATGTGCCAGCAGTTGAATCCAAACGTTGCGGAAGATCTTTCAAGATTCCAGTAAGGTACGAAGATTTGCCAGAGTATACCGTGTTCCTCCATGCTGATGCGCTGGAGAAGCTCGCCGAGAACATGCTGTTTGGGGGGTGCGAATTCGCATCGAGAGGACTCACCCTTACACAGGGACGTGGGGACGTAGGACAGGCCAATCCATTGCAGGTACCGCGAGGCTCTGAGAAGCTGGATTGCGGACCAGCGTCACTGCTTAGTCATGCCTCCTAGTCCTAGTTCTCATAGCTAGACCCGAGAACCTGGGGAAATCAACGTGATAATCAGTAGAAACACGCACTGAGCAGTTGCCGATCCAGGCACATCCCATCGTTGGAGCTGTTGACAGACTCCGTTTATGCCGCCATCCGTGGTTTTCTGCCGAGTGGTATTGGTATCTTGGTTGAAGTTGGTGCAGCCTTAGAGCAGGAGCTCTTCACCCCTGGCCCGAAGGCTTCTGCCTCTGTTTTCCTAGGCTTCGTTCACTTCGCCCACAACTACGTATTGCTGGACTGGGGCTGCCGCTTGACAGCACCACCAAGCAAAGCCGCTGGGACCTGCTGCAAGTCAGCTATCAGTGAAAACTCTGGACTGCCCGGAGCTTCAGGCGACCAGCGCAAAGATTGCGAAGGTCGACAGCTTGAGCCGGACGGGCCTCTCCGACCTCGCTTCTCAAAACACCCTGCAGTGCTGCTCCCCAACCTCGGAAATCCAGCAGTTTCAAGTCAAATTGTAGAGACAAAAGAGAGACAATTGCTTCGGGGATTGGGACCTTTCCGGCCTTTCTTCAATGCTTTCCTCTGGTGCGAATCCAGCCCAATGTTCTTATCCGCTTCTGGGGCTTTTGACCCTGAAATCGTGTCGCCAGATGTGATTCAGACCTGATACTATAAGCTGAGCGTGCCTCGGCTGGACCATGCCTGAAGCCCCGATCATCGAGTTTCTGTTGCTGCAAGAGCCATTAAACCCGAGACCATGAAACCAAAAGCCCGGCCTGGACCCGAAACTCTTGCAGGAGTTTTCGACCCTGTGGAAGCGCGTTTTCGGCGCTTCTGTCGCGCCAAGCCTGGCGGCCGGGCATGTGTCACTGGGCAAGAGTATCATATGCATATATATATATATGCATTATGCAAACGTAACGAATCTGTTGAAGACCATTTTACTGCGGAGCCAGGACTTATTCCGGGCACTGGCTCTTTGTGAGCCACCCTGCGAAGTCTGACGGCCTTTCACTGTGAACGCTTGCTTCCAACAGTGAGGGCCAAACTCGTTGTCGATCCATGAGTTTTCGATGGCCTCAAGATGTTAAGAAGGTAAGCTCATGAGGCCGTGATTAACGCATTGTGCTGGTTGCGATTTCTCGAGCCTGAAAGAAGTCGTCTGCAAGCTGTTATGCACGATTCCAGTGATTTTTTGGCGCTTCACGTTTGCACCGAGGAATGCTTACTGCTGCGTGCAATTCATGGTACATCGGAGCCGCATCCGTTTGAGGCCGCCTAGCTCGCTTTGTTTTTTGATGCTCAGGCAGATTGTCCAATAAAAAAGAATATGCTGGTAAGCAGGTCGGTTGGTCAGAAGTGTAAGTAAATAGGACAGCGGGCACGGCTTAAAGAACGGAAGTGGAGTTGAGTCGACCTAGGTGAAGCCCGGCGCTGTCAAGCAGGTTTCAACGAAACAGGACAAGGAAGCGCACAGCAAGTAGCTGAGAATGCGAAGGTATTTGTCGACAAGTGTGAGGACACGGTTTGAGTTGGCTATAGCTAGAGCCATCAGAGTTAGAGTTAACATGCCCGCAATGTGTGATTGTATAGCTGCCTCTCTCAGCAGTACGTTGCATGATCTGGAACAGACCTTGGATGCCCAAGATGCTTTGCTTCATGTGCGCATCGCCAGAATATGGAATATTCAAGTACAAGTATGTTTGACTTATATTATATAGCTTTCAGTAGCCCTGCTGCCTATAGCCGCTGTGAGGCCCAAGTCCTTCTACGAGCACGGGTTGGCATACTTTGGGCCGCTCGCTTGAGTCTGAGAGGAAAAAGGTTTTGGGCCCAGGAGTCGGTCGCAGATTTCTGGAATCCGGTGTCGCAGCGGTCAAGCGGTAGCATTCACGGAGTCCAAAGCTGGCCTTGCTGGCAGGGAGGAAGTTGGGCGGTACATGGCGGCACCATATCTTCCGGTAGGATAAATAGATAGATAGATGTTGATTGGTATATATATATATAGAGAGAGAGAGAGATAGATAGGATCCATCGATGAATGGATGCTATTGTTGAAGGAAGGAGTCAAGGCAGAGAACCGTCGTTTTCCCACATGCCCAGGACCACGGCCGAGTCCTACCACCGACTCTTCCCCGTGGGGCGTATCGTGGTTGAAATTTGAAATCCATATTCGTCGGGCTAGACGTTGTTCAGATTTGTTTTAGTTCCTGGCTGACGTGTGCCAAACCCTTTCAGATGCCATGGCACTCACTAATTTCTGCCCATCTCAGGACGCTTTCAGAAGTTCCAGCCGAAGACGAAGTTAGCAGCAAAAAAACGGAAACACCAGCCCTATACTAAGCCGACAGCCTTCTCCGCACAGCAGAGTCCCAAGCTCCAGCCCTCAAGTCTCGAAGGTGTGGTCCGGAAGGCTGATGTGCCACTTTGCTGCAGCTTGAAGTTGGAGGGAAAACCAGGATTCGACGTTGCAATGTGTTGGGTTGACATGGGGGCCATGGGTTGGAACGGGCGGTTGGAGTTGGAGGTCCCCGAGGTTCCACCTCAGAAACCTGCGACGCCCCTTGCTTGAAATTTCACTACACCACTCGTACTTGTAGCTCCGCCCTAGCGACTGCAGAAGCCCCGCACCTTCGTGTGATTCGCGGTCGCGGTCTTGAGACCTCGCAGCTTTCTTTCGCACCAAGGTTCGGCCGCACTCCTGGACAGCTTCTTGGTAGCAGGTAGTGGCAATGAGTCGCACTCAAGCTGGATTAGCTGTGCGGTGGGGACAAAGGCTGTCTGAACTCTGGCCGTGGGCTTCTCGTGACGCGTGTATGGCTGTCGGGAAGGACCTTAGCCTGGGTCCGGCGAGCTCGTGCCGAACATGTTTCAACCACCGAATTCACTGAGCTTCAATACGTCTTGTGGAAACGAGGGACAAAGTTCTACAGGATACCGCGAAGTAGACATGCATTCACAAGGAGCCCTAGGTGATCGAATTGTTTTCGGGCTCTTTACAGACCTACCCTTGTTTTCGAGATGGATGTGTTGCGAGATGCCGAGGGGTCCCTGCAAACCCATCTTGCAAGAGCTCGTGAAACAACACTTTGCTTGGGGAGAGCCCACTCTTTGGCGTGGTGTAATGCACAGCGAGAACTTGTCAGCATCTAGTGTGACGGCAGTCTCCAGGATTGCAAACAGATGTTATTAATTTTTACTTCAGCCTGTCGAAGCTTTTGAACAAATTCAGGTACAAATCAAAATGGAGTTCATGACAACAGAACTCAATCTGGTGAGTGTACGTGCCTGCGTATATATACATACACACACACACACATATATATATATGTATGTCTGTATGTATGTATGTATGTATGTATTTATGTATGTATGTATGTATGTATGTATGTATACACGTAACGTACACATCAACAAGTGCAAAGTTTGACGTTGTAGTACTCGTCTTTGCATGGATTGTCCAGGCTCGCTATGTACATTTGGCACGCCATGTTCGGCGAAGCTCTGAAGCTGCCCCGACGGCAGCAGGCATGAGAGAGGGTCGAGATTTCGGGTGGGCAGGTAGGAGAGCTTTGCAGTTTGGGCTTCAGGGGCCTAGTTGTCTTACATGAAGCAACAGTGCTGATGCTCCTGCTTCGAGGCTTCCTAAGCTCTACTTAACCAGGCCTGCCCTTGTCAGACACGCCGGTCAACGTGCTGGTCAACATTACAACATGTCCGATTTCTGAGGTGGGTGGAACTTGTGCATAAAAGGTTGAGAAGCCCTTCTTTCCGTGCTGAAGAGGGAGTGTGACGGAAGTGACGGTAAATGGTTCGTGTGGTGTTGTAGGTGTGTGTTTTGGGCCCTGCTCCTGCAGATCTCCTCCTACTTGTAGGTTATCCTCCTAGGTTTCCTCATACACACACATGTATACATATATATATATCTCTCTCTCTCTCTCTCTCTGTCTGTCTATCTTGACAAGTGGCCGCAACATTGCAATCGACAAGGACCAGCGCCTGCCGCTGTTCATGAAGATACAGAACGTGGAGGCAAAAGCCTGAGAAGATGCAGGCTTAGGTGTCCGGCGTGCGCAGCTGTTGTGAGAGCTATGTTTTGGCCGCAGGGTGAACAATGCAAGGAACTCAGGAGTCGGAAGGTGGAGTTGCCAACATGTGTTATAAGTTATAAGTTTCATGCCTCGAACATGTCGGAAGGAGCTGCGGCAATTCCCGAATGTTCACAATCTAAAGGTGGAGTTCACGTCACGGTAGCTGGTTTTGTCACGATCCAAACCCTGGCGGCCCTTACTACAAACCGGGTTCGCAGTCTTCAGATCCCCTGGCAAGCTCTTTCAGACGCTCTGCTTTCTTAACGGTCGTAGTGCATAAACGCGGTCTCAATTCTCCTGACTGGAAAGCATGTGATATCTGAAGAGTACCTGCCAAATGAGATGTTCCTTCCATGGATCGGTCATGACCTGCAAGCTTTTCGGAAGCTTGGCGAGGGTTTTTCGTCCAACCTAGGTAGAGGCGCTGGAGGAGGATGCCACTACCTCGGATGCACGCCACCCAGTCTGCGGAATCCGTTTTGCTGCTAAAATGCGCGAAACTCATGCGCGAGACATACGCCATGCACCCCATAGAATAGAAGCTGCATAGCATCAACCTGACAAGTTGAGACCTGAGCTTTCATTCCAATCAAGCCCAATGCATGAAATCCGCAACTCCAGGCCGGGCCCGCGTGGCCTCAAAACCTGCCTTAGCCCATGTACTCCCTTGAAAGTTTGGGTGCACAAACCGGAACATTGATTTTTAATGTCCAAGGTGTTCTGAGCCATAAACGCCCGAAGCAGAGCTTTCTTCATATGGGGGGCCTGCAAGCCATGTGGAGCCCTACGCTCCGATCCTGCCCAGTCTCGCTCGGAACCTAGTAGTCCAAATACAGTCAGTATCAAGTAGGTTAACCCTCCTGGCAAGGCCGAGATAGAGCAGCTGGCTCACGCGAGTCGCGCCCTCTGAACGCGAGGATGAGACTCACTCTTTTGATGGGTCCGTGCCGCGGTGGGTTGGAAGTTGGAAATGGAGAGTGATTACAACTGCACACTTCGTACGATGTTGCAAATGGTCAGGCCGTGATATTTTGAGGGAGAAAGCAAGATTCTTGCAATGATTGGTGCTGGACGGATCACGGAGGTTAGCAGGGTGCAATGTGGAAGTCTAGTAGAGTAACAGCTACACAACACCCCGAAGCTTGAATCCGACCCGGCCCACAAGCCCTGATGGTGGCAATGGTTACTGTGACGGTGAGATCAGGATGATGATGAGAATCGTTGACATGTTTTGGTTGTGGTTGTTGTTGTTGTCGTCGTCGTGGTTGTTGTTGTTGTTGTTGTTGTTGCTGCTGCTGCTGCTGCTGGCAGCGGCGGCGGTGGTGGCGGCGGTGTTCGTGTTGGTGTTGGTGGTTGTGGTTGTTGTTGTTGCTGTTGCTGCCCTTCTGGGTGTCATTGGCCCCAGGCCATCTCATCGAAGCGGGTCGGAACTCGATCTCCGCACGCCTGGGTGCTCTCTTTGACGAGTGAGTCCGGAGAATAGTTTGGGATCTGGCAGTTTAGGATGGCTCCTAGGGATGCGCAGGAGAGGGCCGCGGAGGTCATGCGCAAAAAGTCCCACACACCGAGGTTAGGTCCTGGGTGTTAGAGGATTCAGTTCGCATGATTCCGCGTTTTCTTGGATCTAGGGAGTCCCCCTCTGTCGCTCAGAGGTGATGGCAGAATAGGGTCTTTCAGTTGTTGATGTTTCCCGGAGGAAGGATTCGGATAGTTCTGCATGCGTGCTGGTTGCAACATTGAAGACTCATGACGATCCCGAGAGTTTGAGGTGTGTCAAAGAGCCTGAAGAAGAACTGCATTGCTTCCGGTATTGGTTGACCAAGGGTTTGCAAGCCTCTCGATTGCCTTGCATCCTCAGGTAAGCCGGTTCCACGCGAAAGTCAGAGCTGCAGTGCATGTAGCCAAACATTACTCGAAGGTTCGTGTTTGGTCTTCGGACTCGGTGTAGGTCGCAACTCGTGACGTGCTTTCAAAGACATCAGGTATAGTAAAGAGGATAGTATAGAGCGGGTGAGAATTCCAAGGTATGGTTCAGCTTCTGGTCTGAGTCTTAGTTGGTCACTGTATACGGTATACAGATACTCTTGCTGAAGCTACATGGCCCAGCTTCGATGCGCGCCATCGAAATCCCTGCACAAGCTTCGAGGCCCAGAAATTGAGAATTCCAAACATCCCGTCGATTGGAATCACTTTGGCATTTCCGGACGACCTGGTTTAGGCACAAGTTCTCGGAGGGTAGCAGCAAGCAAAACTAATAGGCAGAACCACGACTTGGCCACCATCTTGTTACGCAGAGCTTGCATCCGCAACGACAGCTACCTCATCCCAATTCGAACTGCATGACAAACGTTGCGGTACCCTTCGCCGACCAATAACATACCGTGGGTTATGCCGGATATGTGAGCTCTGCCGGGCACGCTAACGGCAAGATCCTGCCAAAGAGCGTCTTGCAGTCACAGATTTTCGAGCAAATCCAGCACGTCTTATCATCAAGCTCGGTGCAGCGCAGGCATCGGTAGCACAGTCGCATTACAAAGCACCCGCAGCAGCTGAGCCTGCGCCTGCAGACCGCCATGGCAGCTGCTTGCAGTTGGCTTGTCGGGGCAAGGACCCCGGAATTCCGCAGCCTGCACACCGTCATTCAGAAGCCCGAAGGGCCGCTTCTGCCAGTGCTGTCGCCACGGCTTGGAGGACCGAAGGGCCTATCCAAGTAGCATGCCTCGACAACTTTACATTTGCTGCAGTATGCTCCCCGGCCTTCCAAGAAAAAGCGGGGTACTTCCTAATACCAAGGTCCTGCTCCTGGGCTGTCTGGCTTGGCCCTCGCAAAGCCTTGCTGTGGTTGGCTATGTGCCAGACTACCGCTGCCAAGCGAGATTGGATTGGACGGGTAAAGCATATTAAGGCCTATATACAGGCCTAAAGCTTTCGGGATGTCAAAAGGTTTCAGGTTGGACTTGCGGGACTTGGAAAGGTTCATGGAGGAGGTTTCGGAGAGGTTGTGCGGGACTCAGACTTCAAATGCTGCTTGTTCAGAGCTTGGTTAACTAATTAATGCTTACCGATGGCGTGAGCCGCTTGGGGCAATTGGGGTCAGTGCGGAAAGTCTAGGTTTTGCCCATCTGCGCGGGAGGCGGGTCCGCCAGAGTGTTTAGAATCGGCCATCCTGCCGTAAACCCACAAATTTGAGACTATTTGAGACTAGCAATCTTCTCAGAAAGGACCCTCTGTCTTCCTTCATCATACCAGCAAGATGTCACGATGGCAGAGTTGTAAGTTGGGACAGTATAGAGCTTGGACGCAGTTTTCCCCAGGGCAGAGAAGCGCTTGGATAACGGAAAAGTTAGGGATGTGCTGCCATATCCGGCCCCTCTCACCCATCCTTCTAGCCGGCAGTAGAGTGCAACCTTCCAAGGCTTCAGCGACATCGACTGGAGCAAGGACTGGGCAGCTTCCTTGTTTCGACGGGTTAAGTTGATGAAAGCTATGAAATACTCAACACTACCCTGGGCTCTTTAACCGGGGTCCTTGTTGCAACGAGCGAGAAAGTCTGGGCAGGTCGTCGCACGAACATCGCACGTTGTTCTCTTCTCGCTCACGCCGACTCAACAAGGACTGCAAGGGCTGCGGGTGGCGATCCGGTAACGATCAATAGGGAGCATGTATTGGACCGTTGTTGCTTCAAGCCACGTTTGCGAGGCACCCCTCTTTGCATGCCCGTAGCTGCATCCCAATCAAAAGGACACCCAAAGCCCCCATGCTGGAGGATTGGAGGGAACCGGGCTGATCCGAAACCTTCTGCATCCGTACCTCGGCATTGGGGCATGCTGTAGGGCTTCGTTCGCGGTGCAGGCACAGGCACGTTTTGTGCGCTGGCGGATTGCACCAGGACATGAGAAAAAATTGTTGCGAGCCACCATCCCAACAAAACGATGTCTTTCTTATTCTTTGTATCCTCCTGGAATGTGTTTAGCCTCCATACCATGATGCACAGTAGCTAGTAGCAGTCCCGCTGCAATGCCTTCGTGCATAACGGAAGTGCACTGGGTTTAGACATGCTGCTGGTTTCTTGACCTTGAGGCTCAAGTTTCCAAAGTGGCAGGCCCGTCTGCTGCATACATGTTCATGTCTCGCAATGGTGATCTGAGGCAGTCTCCACTGCATCTTGGAGTCATTTCAGCACACAGGGCTTCAGGCATGGCTACCGTCATGATCTTTCAACGACTCACTGAAGAGCTTTAGTGGGTGCCGTACGCCGTACTTGCTGCGAAGGGCAGCAGGCACACGGTGTTCGCAGACGATGCATCCGTCTCCACAACTATTCATCTGCTGCGATCTGTCATTACAAGTGCCCGGTTTGGTTGCTTCACCCGTCAAATTCTGTCGCAGCTCTCACCGACGTCTCGGGAGCTCAGGTCCAAGGTGCTCGAACACCAGGGCTCCCAGGCCGCCAAGGTGCTCGCATCTCGGCTGTGGAGTTCTTCGGCCACAAACGACAAAGGGGTCAGGCACCAAATGGCTCCGTTCTCTGAGGTCAGCATTGGTGGAGCTGGACGTTCACAGGACTTCGCAGCTGCTGTCTCCAGCAAGAAGGGTCGCAAACGCCGCTCGGTGCCGTCGTTCAGTTTTACGCTGCCTGTTGACTAGACCTGCGCCGTCCGATGATATGTTATTCATGTAATTAAACCTCGACTTGTCTCACAACCTGCTGTTCTCAGCCTTCTGGGCACAACCAGTCAGTGACCTACGGAACATAGCCTGAGCTGTACGCTGAAAACTGAAAACCCGGGAGGGTCCTTCCGAGCGCCAGGCATGGCAAAGCTAATCCTGGAGTTTCTCAGCGAGGCCACGTCAGGGCTTGCATTATCTTAAGTCTTAAGTATTGAGAATTAAGTTTCTGTTGGGTTATCATGCTTTTGTGCACGTCTTGGCTCTCTTACGTGTTTCGGTGGCACGGCCGCTCAACAACGTTTCATGACACGTCCAGAAGCCTACATGATCCATGGCGCTCTGGGCAGTGATGCTTTGCGTTTCTGTGCATGATGCCTGCACGTAGCATCCTGGAAGCCGGAGGTGCCCAGTGCGGCTGCTGTTTCAATCAGGCTGATGTATTGGTGACGACCAGCCAGTAAGAAACACTGAGCTACATGCAGCCTCAATGGGGAGCTCTTGGATTCGGAAGCCAGCTGACTGCAGCGTGCCGAGGTGCCTCAGCTGTCCGGTGTGGACTTCGATTGGCAGGCACTTCGCAAAGGGGTGTGCGACGATGCCGATGTTAGGAAGGCTTATGACAGCCTTGTGTCGTCTTGGCTCCCGTTATCTCCGATTCTTCTTTTGGCTGCAGCTTGGAGGGTTTTGAAGCTGCACTGCCCGAAAGCGACTGGGGATTGAACGTTGAAACCCGGGGTCGGCAAAAGAGTGCATTGGCGCTGTAGCTGCGGGTGCCGCAAGAGTGTGGGTCAGGAGCAAGATCAGTATCCTGATTTTCTATACTGCTCTGGTCACTTCATCCGCGTGTTATGTATGATCCCTCAACCCAGCTTTCGCAGGCCGTTACTATCATCTTTTACCCTTTAATTCTTTTTCGCCTTGGCACAGCGCAGTGCCGAAACCGAGCGGTATATTCGTCCTTGATGGTCCTCGTTGATAACCAACCAAACCTCCCGAGTGATTTGGTCCGAGAAGCAAGCGTCCCTCCAAGCCAGGTTCCCACGACTTCGGCAGAGTGGCAGAACCTGGGCAAGCTGGTTCAGCTTCTTCGAACTAGCAGCTTTGCGGAAACTTTAGAAATGGGCATCGGCTTCTATACGTACATTGATTTTTGCTTATGGCCTTTTCTGGAAGAGGTATGCATGCATATGTACATACATCACGTGCATGCAAAGCATGTGTCGCAGTCGCCACGAGAGGAGGGATGATAACATCGAGCATCACGCGAGGCGAAGCTTCAGAGCCTCTACGCCTGGAGCTACATTGACCCATCTGCGCCGAAGCCATCCAAACGCGAATCTACCTGAGTGTGATATCTGCTATGAGTGCATGCGATGTGGCGTGCATGTTGTGTGTGTGTGTATCGTGTATATTTTTGCAAATAAATACATCTGCCGTGAGTTGTGCTCTCTCGTCGTTATGCTTTGTCGTGTCTAGTTATCACCCACCATGTAGTACATAGGGTGAAACTGCCCAGTAGCCGTTTCGCGTTATGCCTTGGGATGCTACTGCGACGCAAGACCCGAGTTTCATCACTGCTGGACTGCGCCCAGGCTCACGGGCTGGTGAAGCTCCAGTCACTTGGCATTTTGCTCTGTGGGAGTTGCAGGGAAGGAGTCCAGATTCAGGGTTTCCAAGTTTCGGCTTGAAGTGTCAAGATTTCAAAGGCTGCTAATCGTACAGGGTTCCGAGCTGCAGCCCTTCTTCGACAGTGGCAAACTTCCGGGCAGTCTGTTTTCTCAACTACCTAGTCTTGGGACAGCGGCCCAGATGAGGCTAGCTCCAAGGGTATCTTTTACGAAGTCTTGCCGCCCTCAATCTTGGGAGTTTGTGGGGCAGGCATCGATGTCACCCAAGGTCATTACGATGACCTTCCACGCAATGTCGGGGGCAATCAGGAGGGGAAACAGCTGCGAACGCAAGCTGATCTAAGCTCCTGCTTACCATTCGCAGGTTTGCGCTCTGTCACTCTGACACACATATGCTTCAGCTGATACTGCAGCGTTTGAAAAATGACTTTTGACTTTGCCTCGCTATGGACCTTTCGTGGTACCAACTCCTGCACAAAGCAAGCGAAGCCTCCAGTCGCTTTGTCCGTCACTGTATCAGAGCGCCTTTGTTTCTGCCGAAGTGCCCTACCGTACTTGGTGCAAGCCACCGTGCTAGGGGCTAGGGCTAGGATGCATGAGCTCGTCCTCCCTGGCGTGATTGCATCCGTCATGCATGCGACAGTCCGCCACGGCAAAGCAAATCTATGGATAGGAACCCTCGGAGCCGCCATGAATGACCCACGTCATGGACAAACCCCGCTCCCGCTGCACACGTCCGCTTGGCCAGCTCACCAACCTGTCATCCCATGTCATCCCATGTCCTCAAAGAGGTAAAGTCAAGCTTTGGAGTCCCGAGAGGCACATCGCTTCACTGCGCAGCCAATCTTCCGACCTCGGCCCCCTGTCGGGTTGTGGTGAGTCGGAGATCCTGTTCTCAAAACGTTCGGATGCTGTTCTGGCACTGACGTATTCTTAGGTTTTGTCGAGCTCTTCGACATGTGTCATGTGCCCTGGCATCGGCAAGCCCCCCTCCATTCAGCAAGTGGAATTTTGCGCAGGTTTTCGGTGCGGGGCTTCAGAATTGCAATGCCTTCTCGCCGCATGCAACGCGCAAAGTCCTAATCATGTCATATAAGGACAAACGGCAACAAGCCAGAATGCAGTTGGCAAGACTTACTGAGTGGAGTGTGCTGTAATATTCGGTTCAAAGTTGAGGTTCTGGGACTTCGTCTGTGCGCTTTGCTTTCCAAGGCCATGACCTACACCATGATGGACAGCTCCGGCCGCCATGCCAATGAGAAGGTGGACAGAGATACCATCCAGGCAGGCCAGAAGCAGAGCTTTTTTGAATCTGAACTAACTTCACTGGAGCACCTCAGACTTTTGGGGCCGGCAGAATTGCGGTGGATCTACTCCCAGAATCTTGTACTTTTCAGGTGTGGCTTCGTGCTTCGAACGTGTACCAGTAGGATCAGAAGTTGAGTTGCGAACGATCGGAGAAGCAGCGGCACGGCAGTGCACCTCGAATACTTGTCCTCCTAGGGTCGGTTGTCCGGAAAACTCACCGGACCTCTCAACAGCTCGGGCTGCCAACAGTGACTGAGTAAGTGCTGACTTTCAAGGTATCAATTCACTTGACTGCAGATCCCCAGGCTGCAGATCCCCAGGCCAACCCTTTAGCGTAGTGACTACAGTACTCAGACGATGGCAACACAGATGGTGGCTACTCCCTGAACTTGGAAAGAACAGCAACATCCGACAGTCTAGCCCCCCCGAAATAGACAATTACTGTTGAAATTCCTGCAGTTTGCATCTTATGGTTATGGGACGTGAATCGAGCTTTGATGCCGCTTGTGCTAGACAACGAGCCCGATGCTACTGCTACTGGTAGAGTGGCGTGTGATAGAACCCGAACTTGGTGCGACTGTGGCTTGGCAAGGCCTGGGGGAAAGCTGGCCTGCCTCTAGCGAAGCTGACGCTAGGCATCTTGTGCCTGTTGGTGTTAAGGAGGAGCTAGGGAGCTTGGGAAGATGAGAGGCTTTGAAAGCCGCCCGTATCTCGATGCCCCGCCTGCATTGCAGCGGAGAAGGGCTCGGCTCTCCTTTCCACAGCTCAGGGCCTCACCTATGATCCTGCTTCATCCGCTTGTCGTAACTCCCCTACCACAGGACGGAAGAATCAGACCCAACGTGTGCTTTGTGGGTCATGTTCGAACAATCACGAGCCAGTCATTATGTAGTTTTAGTGCTTGTTGACGCATCCAAGATTCCGTTTTTCAGGCCAGCATCAGATGTGCGTGAGCTGGATGGGTATTGGCCTACTCGATGATCATGGACAGGAAGTCCAGCACGTCCCCTTTAAGTCCTTCAATATACACGTAGGACACCTGGAGCTGATGAGAGTTTGGGGATGTGTTAGGCTGGTTTTTTCGGCGGATGCTTCTGGGGCACCGAACACATCCGACCTATCCGAGGCACTCCTTTCTTCGGTGCGGCTTGGGCTGCAAAGCAGAATCAGCCTACGGTACTCGTACGTGAGGAAACCAAGATCAAGCTCTGCCATCTTGATCGCTAATAGCAAGACTAGCCTCCTGCTGGACACCAGACTAAACTACGTCCTAGGAGGAGTGGTAGTCGTCGTCGTCGCCGTTGTCGTACAGGGAGTGGAGTAGGAGCAACAGTGTCCATTGCGGCAGTGTTGCCGTTGTTTTCGTAATGCGAGTACCAGAGTGGTGGGGTCGCAATAGTAACAGCCTTGGCAGCAGGATGTGTAGGCTCCTTGAATTACTCTTGTCATGTGTGGCGTGGTCCGATCATAACTGTCACCAGTATGGTATTGATACCTCCTGATGTCATGATGTTCATCACCGTCGTTATCAGCAGTTGTCTTTATGCAGTGGCTCAGCTGCGCCCGAGCATGCCAGATCTTAAATCACAAGCTTCTCTCCCAAGCTCCGTGTTTCCAAGCTAAGAGAGCTCACTTGCAGCGAGAGATTCGATTGAACTCTTCTCTCAGGTGAAGGCCGGTGATGAGCCTCGCACCTTCGCAGAGCTTGTGGCCAAGGTGTGCTGGATTTTGTGATTTGATCTCCGCAGTGAGCACGAAGCACATGTCGTGAGCCATGCTTGCGACTCGCGACATGTCACAGGCAATGTAATCTAACGGGCCGAGCGGAAAGCCTTGCAGAATCGAAGATGCACCAAGGGCATGTGGTAAGACTACCGCGGGTGGATGACTTCTCAGTTTCCGTCCTGGTTCTTTGTGTCATTATCCAGTTGGCTTAGAGTTTGAGCTTCGGGCCAACCGCTTGTGTAGTCCAGCAGGACAGGACGCTAGCCCGAAGTCGAAGAAAGTCAAAACTTCACCTAAGCCTCGAAGATCACAACTCTGTTCCGTTCTTCCGTCCTAGACAGAAATATGCTTGCATCACGTGAACTAGAGCGGGTGCATTTGCCACTTTTGGTGAACATGACAAATCACCGTCATTCTTCACCGACCTGTGGAATTGTGCTTCTGGTGCTAGGAGCCTAGACTACTGGAAGACCCAACGATTGACGTCAGCAAGGCCCGTGGAGCATCGCACAGGTTGTCTTAGCAAAGAGGTGTGTTAAGGGTTTTGCGGTTGCCGCATGGTGGTAGTCGGAGATTCATTTCAGGAACTTGGATTGAGTTGAGCCTTTCAATCAAAGGCAGACATCTATGGATCCAAGCGAAGGGAGGGAAGAAAGCCCTTGATGTTCTGAAGGCAAGTCAGCAGAAACGGTGCGGATTCGTGACGCGTTACAGGGCAGGTGCTCCCCGCCATCTCGCACCATGTTTGAAGCCCATAGGTTTCGCCAGGCAAGGGTCTGTGGAGCTTCTCGTTTGGATACAGGCCTCAGCACAGGACACTTGCTGAGGGCTCGCACCAGGCCGAAAATCTTCACAGATTCTCTCCACCTTTGGTTTCGGACTAGCATACTGACATATCTGGAAGCGATGAACCTGGGACCGTATGTGGATAGCTAGCAGCATGATAGAAGCCCAGTTGGATTTGCAAGCACCTGCCGCAGTTGATCTACCGGACCACTCATAGCACGTTATTGGAACAGAAAGGTGAATTTGCCAGCCCGAGCGCTTGAACCGCGAAACCCTTCTGTCGCCGTGGCGTTTGTTGCAGCGGTTTTCAGCTCCATGGCCATGAAAGGATGGCTATTTCTTCGTGAATGGCTACTCCCTCACCGAGCCGCTTCGGCAGCAGAGCTTGTCGGTCCGGAAGGACAAGTGCTACTGTTGTAGCCAGCCGGCCCCTCGAGAGGAAAGTCCGGCTCGCCGAGAAGGAGGGCCTGGTGCCGTGGACCTTTTCAGCACGTTTCTTCTTCAGGGCTGACTATTCTGGAAGTGGTCTCCGGGGCTGCGGGACCATGCAGGCGCACTCCAAGCTACCAGGGTGGCACTGCCGAACCATCTGTGGCACAGGTTCAGGAGAGGGCCTCGGCAGACTGTTTTGTAAATTCTGGGGTTATGACGCATGTCAGTATCCTCATAGGTCCCAAACCCAACTAGGATTCAGCTTCGAAGTTCCGCCCAGGCTAGCTTTAGAAGATTAATGGGCAACAGCACATGAATCGACAAAAAGCTAACATTGAGACCGTAAAGTTTTCCGGAGTTTGAGGCCCAGGCACTGCATCGGCGGTTCAGCATGTCCAGACCCAACTCTCCCCTGCCCAGCCCCGTGTTGCCAAGTCACATTTCGAGTGCATGCTAAACTGCTGAATCTCCGATTCTCAGCCGGACATGTAAGGCTGGCGTCATGATCTGGGAGCTAGGGCAGGCCGCTGGTATCCACTTTTGTATTCAGACTTCACTTTAGGAGGTTTCGTCAGTCTTCCCATCTTCGTGCCTCTCGTGCAGGAGGCTTCTGTAGAGGGGGCTTGCGTGCTGTCTGAAATGTCGCCCCTGTGCCTCATTCCGGGGCTGAAAAGAGTAGCCCTGGCCCGGCACAGGATGTGATTGAAGATCGTGGGAGCCTGCTGTGGCAACTTGCCGAGCATCTTTATCCACGAGGGCTAGTAGGGAGCATTACTCACTGACTTCAGGTGGGCTTCAGCTGAGCTGTCGGAACTTGGAGGGGCCATAAGGATTTCACCTTTGAGCGGCGGGGATTCTAGAAAGTGTGGGTTTGGGACTGGGATGATATGTGAATCCTTCTGAAGTCCGCTGCCAGGCAAGCTTGGGATGCGGCACAGAGGGCACAGAACAAGGACTCGGGGCAAATTCTGCTGTCATCTCTAGCCGGCCGGTTGCATCCGCACTGCCTGAGCATGCTGTGGCTGCTGTGAAGCCTGTTTCAGCAAAGCGTTGAGCCTTTGCGAAGTTTTGTTCTCGCATCATGTACTGGTAAAGCCTGAAGCAAACCTTTGCCATGCCTCCCCTGCCTCGGTACCAAGTGTAAGTTGACAGGTCTTGCAGGCAGTCAGGGCTTGTTTTCAAGCTCAGCCTAGATGAGCAGTCTTGACGGAGGGCATTTTCCACGGCCTCTTCGGCATCGTGCTAACGGAAGACCACATGTTTGGCATCTTGGCGTTGCCTCATGCATCCATCACCTTTCCCCGACAGGTTTGGTACTTGAGAAAGGATGGCATCGCTCATGTTGGCCACAGATGGGTTCGGAGTATTTGCTTGTAGTGTTCGACCAGGTGTGGGAGTCTGAACACCAAGGATGTGCAGTTTAGATGTTAAGCCCAAGAGCCTCCACAAAAGACAGCCATAGTATGCGCATCTCAACCGAGGCATGCTGACGTTCATGATGGGAGGCTGGCACAACGTGTTGATAGCTGTCGGCATGGTGCAGCCCAAAGCCACGAGTCACCACACCCAGTCACGTCCCTTACATACATGAGTGACACAGAGAAGCCCAAGAAAGGATTCTTCTAACACCAATGCCAGGCTACTACCTTGCCAAGACACTTGCAAGAGCTGCACGGCCGGCGAACAATACCCACAAGAAGCAGGCGCAATCTGCAGCTGAGCACTCCCGCCGATAGTTTCGGGATGTTTTGGCATTCTTGCCGAACATGGCAGAATGAGGGTCTTCTCACAGGTTGTCGGGATGTCAAGGGCTCGACTTGCAGGGATTAACGAGGCGGCGACAAGTGTCATGCGGGTTGTCATGGGAGAAACGGGCAAGCTGGCAGCAGGCTTGTGACGGCTACATTTGCTGAGTCACAAAATCAAGTCCTGTGCCGCGAGTGTTGGCACGACATGAGACGTTTCTGCGTTTGTTGTCGGGGCAACAAGTTGCAGCATTGGCTCACCTTGCAGTCTAGTGGTTGTCGGGTAGAGCTTACCCGCTCAAGTCGGAGGCGTTCGAGAGGTTTTTCCTGTCAAAGTGCTGTGTACACAGCTGTCTGGGCCCAAAGGCTTCGCCAGGCGCAGCACTACCAACTGTCTCTCGATGCAGGTTGGTTCAGGAGACTCTGTGTACTAGCGGGAGTACTTCTCGGGCGTTTTTGAGCTGTCATTTCGTGTTTCTAATCGAATGGCCTGCAAGGGTTCCACCTGCCGGGTGCCGGTGAGGTCCCTGAGCGAGCTCGATAGCGATTCGAACATGGCGCACTATGTTCTGAGACATTCGTTTGAAGGCCCTGTTGGGTGAAAGGATGCCTTAAAATTGCGTCGCATTGGTGCACATGCACGGTGTTATCTCAGGTCCCGGAGCAGTCCAGCGACACTGCCGACGAAACTGCAGACAGCGACGAAAAGACCACTAAGAAGAAGTCTTAGCCTGCGGCGTATCTGCAAGCAGTTGAAACTTGGGACTTGTGCAGAGTGCACAAAGCAATGCAATGCCATGCAGCTCCCGTTTCAACCCTGCGCGCTGAGCAGTCCCAATGTAGCACGGTCTATGCAACGACAAGACAAGATTGAACACTTAAACTCCTATTTGATCGAATCTCAGGTGATGAGCATATGGAGACGGTGGAGTGCAGATGCTCATCACAGGATTCGCTGCCCAGCAAAAAAATCAGCGCAGCCGAGGTGAATGCTGATGCTTTCCAGAAGTCCAGCCGTTGCTTTGGCTCTAGACCGCTTAACGAAATAGACGCTGGAGAAACATGAAAGTCCGTGGTCATGAAAGATGTCTTGTCAAGGCATGGCAGCAATGCTCATGCTTCGGTTTCTGGGATGTTGGTGGTGAGTGGGGGGAGTTCCGTTCTGTCTGACGACGTCCATTACCGAGCCGCAACAAAACTCGTGTTTTCACCGAAGTCAAGAAACACAAAGTGCGCGGTAAGTACAGTCTCCGCCCCCCCACCCCCCAGAGACAAAACAAACACGGCAACACCGAAGCCCCACAAACCCATGCCTCGACCGAAATCCAAAAAAGCCATCCATCCGGAAAGCCGTAAAGACACGCTGGCGGACACTCGTGCCATCAATTGCAAAACCTTGATTTCGCCTCGGCAAAACCACCCAAAAACCTAGCTCCAAAGATGAAACGATGATGAAAAGATGGCCCGAAAACTTGAGCAGTTGCGCAAGGCTGTCTCCCGCAGCAAATACTGTACTGCTAAAGCAGAATACATCGCTTTTCCTCGGTAAAACAGCCATTCTATGCCCCAAAAATCATCCCTGCTATCGCACTACCTTGTTTTCGGGCTTGGCATCGGTTGCTCTAGCGCTTTTCCATCTACCAGCTCAGCTTGCGAGACCGAAATGTGAGCGCAGCTCATAACGTCACATCGTAGCTGAATGCGGCTAAGAGAATTGATATCTCGTCAGTGCTTTCAAGGAGAGCCTGTTGAACTGCTTCAGACCGCCCTTCATCTGCATGCGAGCTAAAGTTTGGTGATGTGACACACGGCGTCTTTCGTGTCGTTTATCCACATTCCGTCTCAAACCAGGCACCACAATGTGCCTGTATCGACCTTGCAAAGTCTCGTCGACATCGGAATCATCTCTCAAGTCACTCAGTGCAGCAGGACTCTGAGCGATAGTTCCACGCAGCCCGGGTGAGAGTCGAGCCAAACCTAACCTGGGCAAAGCGCCGCCCCTGCTGCGATGGCACCTGCGCTGGCTCAGTGCCCAGGAGTCTCGGCTTAAGTCATGTGTCTGATCACTCTTGTTCAAGTGATCAGAAAAGCTGCGGTAGTGAAAATCTGAAAATATACAAAGAGCCGCACGCGGAGGAATACTGAGAGGTGCAACCTGGCCACTCCAGCAAAAAAGGCATCATCATGATGTTGTTGATGATGTCCTTTCTGCCTTTGTAGGTTTTAGTGGCAGTGCAACAGCAGGACCGCAGATACAAGTGTCAGTATCAAGTTGAGTGGTGATGTTGGCATCCTTGCATTCGCGAAACCAGATATAGAAACAGAGCGTGGGCGTCGCCAGCACATGAACAACGGTCAGGAGGTAGCCGCATAGCAGCAAATTAAAACGTAGCCCGAAAGGCTGCGGAGGCCACAGAGCTGAGCACCGAAGGCCAGCACTGAAGGAGCCGAGAGCCACAAAACTATTGGCCACGAGCCAAGGCTTCTCGGCGAGTCTGCTAGAGATACGACACCATGCGAATCATGCCTGTGTTGCGGTTGCAGATGTTGCAACATATAAGTCGATAATCTAGTTGTTGGTGTTGGCATCAGCAGCGTTCGTGCTGCTGGCGTTGTTCCGTGTTTTTGGTCTCGTTCCTGCCTCCGTTGCTGTTGCTTGTGTTGTCGCATCTGTAATGTAGTTGCCATGGTCGGCTTTGTCGTCACTATAGCATGCTCCGCGGAAGGAAGTCAGTCCTACCTGCGGATTCATCATAGTTTGGCCTTGGATGTTGCAGCACAGTCTGAAGCTAGCCGAGGCGAGGATCGTTCCGAGACGGGGACATGCACGGTGGACGGAGGCATCCCGTGGAGAAAGACACGAACACAAAGTAACTGTGAGAGAATCTAGGCTCTTTAGACCCGCAGCTTGTTGCGGTGTTATCAACGGCAGGGGCATATGACTTTCTTTTAAACTTCTGCAAATTCTACTTACAATTGAAGTCATTCCGGACGCTTGGCCTAAGCGCACGAGTCGCTCACTCGCGCTTTTGTTCAAGTTCTTGCACCCCCCAAGAGCCAGGCTTTGTCTGCTTGCAGCTGCTGGACAGCGCAGGAAAGCCCCGGGCTGCTCGCCCGCTTTCAATTGCATGCCAGTTTGCTCGGATTTAGTGTAAGCCCGTTGGGATTTCTGAATGCTTCAGAAAGTTCGAGCATTATTATTACTGCCAGTTCAATACGGCAAGGTTTCACCAAGCAAAGACCCCGCAGCAGAAATCCGAACACATGACTTCAACTCCCAGGGACAAGGATACATCGGGATAGACATAGAGGGCGCCTCAAGGGATTGAAACTTTGAAACAGCCCAAACCACTCTCCCTACCAAAACACAGTCGTGCCGGTAAGGAATTCATGCCCGGCAAAGACTGGTGGGACGTCACTGGCCAAAGCGCTCACAAGTGGGTTGTTTGGCTGCACAGGGTCGGGGTATGCTTGAGCTATGGCGGAGGAACCTTTCGAACCAGACCCCAAGAAGCCTGCTCACATTTTGCATGTGACCTTTAGCTGAGCCCTTTGTAAAATGGCTGGAGTTGTGTGGTTCGAAGTGCCCTTGCACGTTTTTTCAATGTTGCCCACTTACTTGCTTTGATCTGTGCCGCTACTGGTAGGTTGTGAATTGGAGTTGCTAGGCCACAGTCGAATTCCCAAGAGCTCCAGCCTTCGATGAGCATTCCTGACTTGCCTCCTCCGATGCCATCGAGCATCATCATACCTTGCGTGTCCAGCTCAAAACGCAAGAGCGAGCGAGAGTGAGCAAGTGGAAACAGGTCCATGCTCTTAGGTGTCGCTGTGTTGGTTCATGGTGCACGTCGGCCTTCTTAGCGCACCTGGAAGACCTCAGGACGACCGCATTCGATCGAACCATGGTGACAGCTGGTGTGTTTGTGCCACTCGGCAGTTCAATCCGCAACAGCTCTTGAGACCCGCGGCAGCACGAACAGGGGAGCCCCGAAATGCAAATCTTTGCAAGCATGGGCCCTGCGAGTCGATCCAGATTTCTAAGCCCGACAGTCGAGCCAAGTACCTTTGAGACCTGTGGTCTGGTCGTCCTCATGGTATCCTGAGATGCCTCTTCGAGGTAAAACCATCTAGCAGACGAGCATGGATGAACAACTCGCTGAACCGTGAGGGCTGAGCAGCAGTCCTAAACTCAGCAGCCCTCAGCCATCCTCCAAACTCCTACGCCACAGAAAGTGCTGAAAAACGCCGTCTGGAAGCATAAATCCAACCCTCAGCAGGTCCCAGGATCTTCCCACAGGAAACCATGGGCTTCGAACAAAACCTCCCCCCCCTCCCCCCCCCCACACCCCAGAAGTCTCGGATGGTTTTTTCGCCTCGACAGGCGACCTGTGCCTCAGAGATCGTGGACCTGGCCGGGGGCCAGTGTAATTCTACTGTACTTTAGTATACTATACTATAATATACTAATAAGATACTACACTATAACATACTATAAGATACTATAATACAGGGAGCACATGGAACTCTTCTAGAAAGGACTTCTAGACTTGGAGTCTCTCTGCTCTTATGTCCTGTCATAGTGTGGCATGATAAGTGGGGGGCACAACCAGGGTGCAGAGTTTAGATGTAGTAGTGCAGTGTTGAGAGAAGCTTGTAAGAGTTGCACGGTGTCCGATCTGGGGTTTGGGGTTTGTGGGGCTTGAGGTTTGATGGCTGGACATAGGGCTTACTGTACAGGATTCAAAGTGAGAGTTGACTCGGAGGCTTGGAGGACTTGGGCATTTCGAGTCGAAAACCTTCAGGCCTTGAGGCTTGGCATTCCGGCTCGCATAAGTCAGAGACTTGAGGAATCGGATCGTGCGGGACATGCACGGCTTGCTTCGGGTTTGGCGGCACTGCGTATACACATGCACGTGTGTGTGTGTGTGTGTCTCTGTGTGTCTGTGTCTCTGTGTCTCTGTGTGTGTGTGTGTGTGTCTGTGTGTCTGTGTGTCTGTGCCTGCGCGCGCGCGTGCGCGAGAGCGCGCATGTGCACGTGGGCTTGCGGAACCGGATGCTGCGTTTTGATTTTAGATTCGCTGCAAACGTTGACTGGGCCAAGGTTGGATGCCAGCAGATGCCTATCCGCTGTAATGCTACGTGCCTTGGCTGCAGAACCCTGTGCCCAAAGCTACATGCAAAGCTGGATAACCCGAAAATCAATCCCGGGCACTTGGCAGTCGATTAGCCGATTAGCCTTCTGCGTGGATCGAGGAACAGCAACCAGTCAGTGTTGTGTTTGCAGCTGGGTCTTATAATGTCGGATCTCAGCTCGAGGTTGCTCAAGACCGACTTTCTCCGAAACCGATTCCCCAAGTCCTGTCCTTTCCGTCCTGATTTTTCCTAATTCACCGCTTCCAGCTTTGAGGAATATGAAGGACGTGTTCGGCATCGATCTGCCAATATATGCATCATTAGACGCTCAGCCGCACAGGAGGGTTTCCGGAGTCTGAGGTTCTGAGAGTAGTCTTGAGGATGCTTGGTTTCGGCCGAGTGAGAGAGCGTTGGGTCGCTTATGCCGAATGTGAGGATCCTGCGTGAGGCTCATGCGGCTCTTACAGCATCGTCTAGCCACAGCATAGCCCTCCGCATGAATGGCTCTGCATCAGGGTTACAGTTGGGGCTTGAGGGAGCCCCACCAAGGGCTGTAACACCTGTACAACCTCTCCAAAGCTCTTTTCCGCTCAAGAGCCCAGATTATCGAAATCCTGCTTGCAGGAGACCTGCCTTCGCACCCGCTGCCCGGAAGTGCAAGGGGATCTGCGAAGCCGGGCAGTGCGCAAGGGTGTTAGTGTAAGGGGCACCCAAAATCCCATCAGGGCCGTGTGGCCTGTGTTGAGTCATTGAGGCTTGAAGGTGATGGCAGGGAGTTCAGAGTTCGTCGTTTCCCACACGAAACTGTGCGCATGGGAACTCAGCATCTTGTGGCAGTGTACTTCGATGTAATTAATGGTGATGAGTCATACTTTCGGGCATGGCGGCTTCCCTGGACCTGTCCCAGCATAAGTGTCCAATGAAGCCAAGTGGCTTCCTGCAGGCTGGGGCCTCTGGGAGGCCTTGGCTCCTACAATTGACTCAGGCGACGTTGCATCGGGTTAGTTTTGCAGGTGCTGCTGTTTTCTGGTTTTGTTATTTTTCGGGCGGGGGAGCGTTGAACGTTTCGAGCTCATGCCTCGGATTTCAGTTTCTTGAGTTTGGCTCAGGCTTTGCGATCATTAGAGGGGAGTAGAAACTTGCAGGGCCTGTTCAAAACCATCGAACTGAGCTGGACGGTGCCTCTGGGCCGTCTTAATTCCGAAGCTTCGCACGATTTGAAAGCAGCCGTGCAGCCTCGCTTGCTCCCCATGGCCCGACAACTTTACCGGACTTATGACTAAGAAGCAGTACAGGCAGGCAAAGGTTCAGGCTTCAAAACACTGAACCAATGTCGGTGCACGTGGAGTAGTGAAGTGGAAGCAGTGAACGAAATGATTGAAGTTGCCCAACACTCTCGGCGCGAAGTTAACTGTCAATTTGTATACCTTTCTGCATGAAGTCAATGGAGGTGGAGAGCTGTATGCCGCTGTCTCTGTTAGGACGTTTGTCTTGCTGGCCTTACTGAGAAAAAGTCCATTTCTCTATGATATTGCAAGCTTTTGGTCCCTTCATCCCTGCTATGCGGGCTCGTCTTAACCTTAGGGGAGGCAAAGACAGATTCAAGACTGCAAGCTGGACACGAGAAAAAGCATCATCGTCTTGAAATGGAAGGCCCCGATGACTTGAACCCCAGATCCGCGCACCCCGAGACCCCAAGCAGTTTCTGCCCTCCGAAGCGGGCTCAGGCTCGGGCCCCTCCCTTTCGCTGGTTGGGGCCGCAGAGCTCGGCCTCGGGGCCACGGTGGTCGTGGCCGCCACGGCGGTGCTCCTCCGGAGGCTTGCGAAAATTTGCACAGCACCAGCAGCGTGAGCAGTTCGGAATGTCGAAAGTATGTTGAGATGGGGAGAGAGCGGGAGAGAGGGAGAGTGTGTGTGTGTGTGTGGACATGGCCGTGTTTGGCATGCACATGGGCAGGTTCGCGACACATGTCCGCTACCACTACCAGCTCCTCTCAGGCTGGGCAACAGCAAGACCGAAGTTGTGATGCGCAAGTGGGTTGCTGGTTATGAGCGCAGGCGACAGTAGCGACGAAGAGGCAGACTTGCTGCTCGACTCTGAAGCTCGTTAGCTGCGCATGGCCTACCGGGAGTTCGATTGCCTTTCAGGCCAAAGTTACGTTTCTTGGGCCGTCGCTTTAGAACTTCAGGCGCCTGCACGTTGTACAAAAAATCGGGGCTGATCAGACTTTGCTGAGTACAGAAAACTGCTCCTGCTGCATTCCGGATTCAGGTTTAGGGCTTTCGGCTTGACGCTCTAAACTGCAGATATTAATGTGTTCAAAAAGAGTTCACGGCTCAATGTTAGTCGGAGGGCTTGGCCCACTGGATTATTTGCTTAGATATACGGTAGCAGTTAGCTCGGCGGTTCATGAGTCGTGGAGATGGGTTGTGGGCTGAGAAGGTTGACCACTTGCGATTGTCAGACACCACAACAACAACAACACGACAGCAGCAAGGGCGGCGGCAACGACCACCACCACCATCACCACTACTACAACCGAGCACATCAACAAAGGATCTGCAAGAGCAACAGCAGCAGCGATGATGCTGAAGACGATGATGCTCAACAATGTCGGCAACGCTAGCTACCGCTGCAGCTGCCGCAACAAGAACGGCCCGCAACAAGGGCAACGATGACGGCGACGATTACGATAACTGCACCTTCAACAGCGACGCCCTGCAGCTGTTGTTGTCGTTGTTTTCTGATTCTTAAGCCCTAGCCGTTCCCAAGGAAGTTCTACGCATATGGAGCCCTAAACTTACATCGAAGCCAACCCATGGCCCCGCAAACTCCAAACCCCGAACCCCGGGAGCCGCCTCAGTCTCGAACCGGCCCTTTAAACCGCTTCATTGCCGAGTGTTTGTGGCTCAGGATCTGGTAGGATCCACATGCCCAGGGGAGTGGAATACTTCTAGGCTGAAAGGCACTACTTAGATGAACTTCACATCTTGACATGGTATGACTCGCGAAGACAGCTTTGCAAAGATGTCCCTGCACTCTCTAGGCCAAGAGCTGACCGCTTGAAAGGCAAGGCTTCTGATCGCAAGGATGCTCGCAACCCATCAAAAGCAGCTCAACAGCCCCAGCCACAGAAGCAAGGATCAAGCAGGTCCTAAGCAGGAGCCGCGCTGGATGTGACCTTTCGCCAGGCATCGTTCCCTCCTGGTTCCGTTTTTGGGGATGAGTTATAAGCTCCCCGTGGTGAGCATGATAAGCAGGTTTGTTGACCAACACAGCTTGTATTCAGATGGCGCGGCGGGCTTGTCTCTGCCGCTTCGGAATTAGGACATCAGGCACGAGTTGTTGCCAACCTGGGCGAACAAGAAGGCCTACAGGTTCCCAGTTGCAGCACCTTCGACGAAGGCCCTTGGCAGGGCACTCCACATGTGAGCTCTAGGAGTGCAGGAGATAAAGCCGGCTCAGTGATGAGTGATGATGATGGCGGCTCACAAGCTGTTGTTTTCGTCAGCATCTGCATCAAATGGGTGGTCATTAGTATAGTACGAGCCATTGGGCAAGACTACGTGACTCCTCGCGGTTTGAAAAATTGTTGGATCTTAGCTTCGTTTCTCCCCAAGAAGGGCTGGATCTGGAGCTCTTCCAGGTTCAAAAGGGTCAACCTAAGTCCTACGCGTGGATTATCGTTCCCTTCACGGCGATGGAATCCTGGTTCGAAGGGCTTCCGTAAGACTTTTATCTTCAGCCAGGACTTTGCATGCGGGTCCATTTCCGAGTCAAAGGCTTGCCAACCTTCTGATCCTGCCATGCCGTTCACAGGATCTAGAAACGTGCAGAAGGCAGAAAACAGCAGAGTTAAAGGGATCGACAATGACAAAAGTAACTCCGGAAGGGCATCCTTGTCGCGATGATGGCAGCCCAAGGAGGCACGCGGCTGAGGGGATCTAGTTGAGCCTCGGAGCGTTGGCAGTGAGAGTCAACAGACGCATGTAGATGAAAAGGTTGTCAGAAGCCAGCAATGAACATAGTCGAAGACGCACATAGGGAGTTATCCAGTCGGGTCGAGACCTGAGGCAGTGAGTGTAGGCTGTGAGCAAAAGGTCCTTCGGTCATGGATTGAGATGTTCGTGATCTACATGAGCATTTGTCGGGAAACCGGCATGCAGTGATCCGGTGGTGTGTTTTTCAGTTTTGATTTTGTAGCCCCTGCAGAAAGCAGAAAATGCCTCTACCGTGGTAAGATGGGCAGGCGTGCACGTTGTGACTCGGATTATATTTGGAGCTGCAAATGTAGCCATTGATTCTGAATCCAGCGGTAGGCCACATAGGTCAAGAATGTTCAAGAGCCAACCTGCAAGGCCAGCCAATCAATGCCTTGCCAAGCTAGGCTATGCACGTGTTCTCACACACCCCACACAGAAACAAGATGGCATACTTCGAGATATCCGATATCCTCAAAGCTCGAATTCCTAAGAGCCGCAGGTATCTCCTCGCCAGGAGCGGCCAGGAACCGGAGAGCCGCTACCTTGGGTTCGGAACGTGCTTTCAAGCATCCCGCAGGGTTGTGTGGGGAAGCTGGGACCGGCCAGACCCTTCGCCCGCACACAGGGGAAGCAGAGAAGTAGAGAGAGGTGTTTCGGATGAGTTTCCGTCAGAACTGCACGGTCGTGGCTACCATGGTAACAAGACCAGTGCACTGATGCCACAGCAGAATCTGACTCAAGCTGTGTCAGCATGAACGGTCCGTTTGCGTGATGCGACGAGCGCGAGGGTGCGAGCCTGCAAGAAGAAGAGAGCGACCGCTGTGTGCATTGCCATGTTGCGTCAGATGGAACCAGTTGGTCAACATCCATCAGCTGCACCCCTGCGTTCCCTCCGTTCGGAACTGCTGTGAAACATGCGAGCAATACCGCACCCGATCATCGACGAAGCCAGCACGATTATTCAAGCAGTGACATCTCATGCTTTCCGTAAGACGGAAACATGCGTCTCAGGTCCTGTGCACGGCAGGGATCCCCGGGAGATGCCGGGGATTGTTCGGCTTAGACGGTTCAGGACTCCGAAATAAGAGGTTTGGTTTCGGCACAGAGTCGAAAAGCGGCTTGAGATGGGAGTCCAGACCACTTTCAGTGTGGCTGCGAAGCTTGATTCTTCATTTCACGTTGTCATCAACAAAGCGGCGCAATCCTGGTGTCCAGATCTGCTCAGTTCACAGACGCCAAGGTTCGGATTGCGCGGGCTGACATGGTTCGAGTTCAATTGGAAGATTGCAACTTGTTGCGGTGCTACCTTGTGGACTTACGGCCTTTGCTCCCTTTTTGCAGGCCCCCAGAGCACAGGACAGTCGGTGGCAGAATTTTAACCTGGCACCAAAAATCTGGAGTAGGAGATGGGCATCCAGCAATGCATACGAGAGTTAATTTGAACCCCCGGCTCTTGACATAATCGTCGCCACAGTGGCGATTCAATCTTAGCATGGCCGCGCCCCGCAAGTGTGTTTACAACAACGTGTAAGTTTGGCATCGTATTTGCACAGCTGCCGTGAGTATGTGGGAAACGTAGACTAGACAGATAGAGGTTTGGATAGAGGGTGCCATTGTGGAGGCTGCAGTAGGCTCGTCCTGGACAACATAAACAAGACGTTTGGAAAGCCGACTCGAAAGGTTTACCCAAAGCAGATGGTCCGAGTCCTCCACTCCAAATCGGACCTCTAAAACAGATTCTGGTCGTAAGTTATCGTGTCGCCGTGACTTTGGGCCAAGTGCTACAGTAGTTCAACCAAAGTCGGCTACCGAAGGCAGGGATGAGCATGGTTGGGCCACTGGGTGACGGCACTGCGCCACCAAGGACCTGTTTGCCGTGAGGCCTTCAGGTGTAGGCTTCGTGATGGATTTAAAGTTCGGGATGAGCTGTGTCTAGGAAATTCCACAAAGAAATCCAATGTTGTAACGCGCTGTTATTTGGCTTCAGTAGCTGCCCTTCGCATCCTTTTGTTGCAACGAAGCCAACAGAACGAGAACTCCCCGCAGCATCATGTCGTGCGGGAGACCCCAACCTGCCATACTGTGACTGAGGTGAAGTCTCAAACCCACAAGAGCTGAAGGCTGAAAGCCGATGATACTGGTTGCACGGCCCACGCCTTGCACATGAAACAAGGAGGGAGGTAAGCATCCAAGAAAGGGAAAGAGCATTCGAAGATTTTTTATTGGAAGTGAAGACGATTGTTGCAGCAAATTGAGCGAACGAGCAAGCGAGAGCGAGCAATCCGGAAACCTGAGAGACTGCAGCCACCTTGGCTCGTTGGGTCGTGACAGCTTCACGGACCACCCACAATGAAGATGGCCATGGCCTCAGCATTGAAAAGTGACTAAAAGGATCCGTAGGTGGTCGAGAATTTGTTTGCAGGTGTTCCGTATCCCTTGCATAGGTGGCTTCTGCGTGCGATTCTAGGAAACACCAATTCCGGATCCACACTTCTACGTACTTGGCAGTGCTGTTGCGAGGGTGGTCCATTATGTAAAGGAAAGTGTGCCTCTCGAAGTTGTGGAGTAGGGGGTGTCCAGGTTATTATTAAATGGAAATGTGAGAAACATACATTCGCGAAACATCGATTGAGATCTACCGCAGACCATGCTAGTAAGACGTGATCTCCAAAGTTTGTGGATGCGTCCTGGAAGTTTGCTCTAATTTAACAACACACCGCAAAGTCTACATCCTGGACGGTTCTGATCTTCTGGCCCCGAAGCGCTAAGCCACGCTACTGTGCGGCCTCCCCGCACCGCAGCGCTTCCCGACGAAAGAATGATGTACACCCCAGAACGTCACTGTTTCCTTTCACTGAGGCCTCGAACTGTTGGGAGAGGGGTCAAAAAAAAATTTAAAAAGGATCAAAAAAATATTTACAAAGGATCAAGAAAAAATTTAAAAAGGATCAAAAACAAATTTACGACTTACAAGGCAATTTGTTGCTTTCCTGGCTTAGTGGCTTCCGGCTTCTTGGTTTCTCGGCTTCCTAGCTTTTCGGCTTCCCAGCTTGTTGGCTTCTCGGCTTCCCAGCTTGTCGGCTTCGC